CATACGCTCGCTAGCTCCACACCCTCGATTCTACTCACGCTGTGATGCTTAGTAATTTCCACCGCCTCGGCTATCAGCCGCTGTGGTGTGAATCGCAGTCCCCGTCTTAAAATTCCACATTCTCCAGATCTGTTCTATGTCCCGTGTCTAAGGCATGTACCGCCATCGCTGAGTCTTTGACCAGCGTTTGGTATTCTTCTGCATTCCTTGGTGGTTTGTTAATATTCTTCTTTTATGCTCACCAATTCGCTTGTGTTACAGAGCGAGTTATTTTCATCTAATTTTACCTTGATCAGGCCCGGGTTGAACTGCCCATTGTTTCTCCCAAGGGTAAACAGAGGAGGAACAGAAACTGACGGCGAGTTGGTCCACATTTGCCTGAAACTGTTCAAGGGGAGATATTTCATCGAATAAGATATGGGAATCCATTCCACATTTGGTGTTACTTCAGCTGGCAAACGAATACGGTCCCATCGAATGATACAAATGAATCAGCTGATGCGTCTGCCCGACGTGTGACCTGAGGGTTAGAGATATAGTTTTGAACACCGGGATCGGGAGTATGGGTGACTTGCCTTTGAACAACCGGGCTTCTGACACCGAGAAACAGACTAAGCCTAAGACCGAATGTATAGGTCGTGTACTTGGGTGATGGGCACGCTGAAAGCACAGATTTCTCGCAGGAACATCCTTGAATGTAGATTGCTGAGGCATTGAAAGCTGCATGTGCATTTCAAGTTGATGGATTCTGAAGGGTTGCCGGGAAACGAACAGGTTCGAAATCTCCTGCTAAGAACGCCAATCCCTTTACTGGCGATCAAAAGTGGTTTCTCAGTTTGAGTTTCTGAAAGCCAATATTCGAGCCAGTCAGATGATTCTACCAAACGGTCTAAACTGCAGCTATGAAAGTTTGAAAACAGTATAAGCAGTACATTCCGGTTCATGTGTATTACATATACAATATTCCATCCGTTGAGCGGTAATCAATATTCAAGTGTAAATAGAAAAGTTCAGAGTTAACGCATCCTTGATATGGAAAGTTGAACGAATCCCAGTCCACGGAACCTCGGGGATCTCCTTTACATTTGCGGGAAATTTTGTAGATCAGAGAGCCTCCTGCTCGTGAGTGAACTTTGTCGTTAGGAATTTTGAGGCCATTTCATACTGGGAGGAAATGCTTTGTATAAATCAAACCAACGGCTTAATACAGGTAATCTGTCGCGGACAGTATGCTGTGGATTGAGTAATAGAGTAGTAGACCAAACTTTTGGAATAACAGAAATTTTATTGAAATTCATTCGTAACGTCTGTGTTTATTCTGTACCAGCGATTCCCAAGTGTGTTGACGCATTACTCACCCGCCATAGGAGAGCGAACGATCTTGCCAGCGTCTGCTATATGCTGTACTATGCTTGATTCTCCTCAGTACGGGATATCTTCCCTAAAACAAGATGATTTCAGTAAGGCAGAATTAGAGCGAGGATGAACAATAATGAAGTTAATGGTTTCACTACACAGGACAATGTTTCAAAATTTTGACAATTACGACAAGTTGGCAAATCTTTCTTTTAATTTAGTTTTGGACAGAACGTACTACTGATTAAACAAAGAGCTCAAAAACTGCGCTTTATTCTGGATCCACTGCATTTACAGTTGAATGTTTACGCTGATAATCACTTAATATGAAGTGATCATCAGCTTGCAAAATGTCAGACTCTGGAATGGGTTGTGGAACTTACTGACGTGGTTCATATCGCCATAGTAACCAGGACCATGACACCGTCAGGCGAAACAAAACGTACGGACAGGTGTGTGAAATCATTTTCTGACATTACAAGGAACTCGATCGGTTACAAGTCCACCAGTGAGTGCAATATCGTGTAAACGGGCAAACGGATCGTTAGCCAATCCATGTAAGACACTAGAAATGTTGATTTATTGGACCCTGTGTGAGCAGCAACGTGTTGAAACATTTTTACTCAACGCATGGACCCAATACGAGTCGCATCATTTACTTCCCGTTCAACGGTAACCACTATTGCGATATCCTCTTCGCTAATTAGACCTCTCTCCGAAGTAAGCAGGCTTTTTCAAGCTAGCACAAGAAAATCATAAAGTAGTTTCATCATTAGAGAATATACACTCATCTGCAAACTAATTTGGTTCTTTCGAGAGATTCAGCTGGGTTCCAGGTGAGTCTCTCGAAAGAACCAAGTTAGTTTGCAAATGAGTGTATATTCGCTAATTTCGTGCAATTTGGTTTCAAGTAGAACANTTTCTAGAACAACCAAATTAGTTTGCAGATGAGTGCATATTCGCTAACTTCGTGCGATTTGGTCTCAAGTAGAACATAAGGTTGACGGAAACCCGAGGACTGCGCCTGCCTGATGAGCCCCCAAAAAGGGCGAAACCGGTCGTGGGCTGTCGATGGATTTTCAGCAACCTTATGAGTAGTATATTATAAATATAGTTTCATCATCTTATTGGCCCTCTTGTGAAAGCCTTGACTTTGGGAACATCTAGTTGGGTAATGGATTACTTTTCAGCTGCTGTGTGTTGGTAAACCCAAGCCAGCCAACACGTAAAATTGTGCATTCTCAAAATGTATCAAATCAAATGTCACAAGAAACTGTTCGATGTGACTGGAGACGGGCTAGAGGGTGTGTGTGTGTGTGTGTGTGTGTGTGGAGTCAGTCATTCCGGCACCTCGTCTCCAATAGCATCTTAGTTTCTTCACCGCGATTGAGTGTCCTCACTCCACAGGTTGTGTTCATTCAAATAACTCATAGTTTTATTACAAGGCCCTCAGGAACATTCTGTGAGTTTTGACGAACAGGTTCCCAAAACAAGGACAGAAAGTCTCCCTATGTTGATTGGGTATCTAAATACTTTGTGAAGAAGACACTGTCACTCCTGTTTAAATTTAAATTTAAATTTAAATAAAGTTCGCTTACTGTGATCTGTTTGGTTTTCCGTAAGACGTAGTCTAGTGAAAGAGTACACGTTCCATTCTTTCACCATAACACCTGGTTGTCCGTGAAAAGGTCATTGGATGTCCTGATGATGTCTGATAATGGCTGTCCTGGCACTGATGCTGAAATCCGTAAAAACCAATTTTCGGATTTACTTTCATCCTTAAAATTTGATGAAAACTCTCTCCGGTACCATACGACTGATTTTGTCTTTCTTGGGGCTCATCAGATGGATGAACTCGAATTCAGTGAGCTCCCCAAATACACGGATTCCGTCTTAACCGGAGACTCAGCTGAATTCCAAATGAAGAATGGCATGAACAGGTGAACCAGATGGGATTTAGTTGAGACTCCCTTTAAAACAAATCTGGGCTGGAAAAGAACATGCCGAAGAGTGAAAGCCAAATTGGTGTGCAAATGAGTGTAGTTCTTGAAAGACTTTCCCACAGCTTTATTGTCCGCTTTCTGTAAGTTTTTTATATGAGCAGTTAGGTCATTTTAAATGAATTGGAAAATATTTGGGACCGAGTGGGTAGTCAGGTTTGATAAACAATCAATGGATTTATTGCTGGGCAACATTTCACTTTTGACACAAAAGCTTCGTCAGGCCAAGCGGCCAAGTCAATTTGCTAGATAGGCCCTTAATTGGCAAAAAATGTTGTCTGTTAGAGAAGAAAAATGCATTTTGCAGTTGGTAAAAGAATTATAAGGACGGAAGAGATCATTCCTAGTGTTGAATCTGTTTTCAGGAGCTTCAATCAATGGAAGCGGAAAAATTACATGTACAGTTAGTCACAGTCCTCAAGTCGCAGCAACAAGGGGGTCCAAACATTGTAGCAGCTGAGTGGAGAGCCTTAAAAACGTTAAAAAATGTAGACAGCATAGTAATTACAAAGGCAGATAAAGGTAAGGCCACGGTCGTCATGAATAAGAGTGACAATCTTCATAAAGGTAGACAACACATAGCTGATGGCCCTTAGCGACAAATTAGTAACGGAAAGATCACGTCAATTATGAGTAAGAGTAAAGTTGAAGTTGGGAGGTATCTAAGATCTGT